CGTCGTCAATAAACATCTAGATTCACGTATGGCCCCACAGTAACCCAGGAAACTCATTAAAAACATTATACCACCAATGGCTATCAAAACATAAGCCATTTGTTCAATAACTTGAGGTTGGGTAAATTGCTAGAAAAATGGAAAAAATAAAACATTACAAATTGTTATAAAATTTAATAAATTATGTTTTTTTACATTTAATTAAACGCTTTTTTCTTGTTTTTAATTTTAATTACAAGCTAAAAAATATGATACTTTTTTAGATTTTCTTCTTATTCCCGAATTCTTATTATCATCAGCTGGGTGTTATTGAAGCTGGTAGATAATTAAACTTTGACCAATTTATTTGTGGCTTTAGGGTAAATGTACGACAAATGCGTACTTGCGTTTTTGCAAATAAGTTTGTATATACTCGAAGTCAGTTACATTTGTAATAATCTACTAAAGCAGTAGTTCCCAAAGCGTATTCTCTTTTTTTGGAACTATATGTCAAATATCAGTCCTAATATGAACAACATTACGCTGGGAATTTGTACCCTACTCCTACATATACATGTACTGCTCCTCCTTCAGAATAATTATAGACCCCGATTACTAAAATTTGGGAATCTCTGCTGTAGTAGCACTATTTTCTTTATACAAATTTTTTCTTTTGTATAGATATTAAATACCTTAATGACTTGTCTACAAAAAAATTAAGAAAAAATCACAAGAAAGTTAAAGAAAAGTTTTATATTACAAGTAATCTGAAATTTTCGTTTATATATTTTTAAATGCCCTACAGGACCGTTCATTATTTTTCAATACATTCGCACAAAGTTTGTAATTTTTCGAGAAAATATTAAGAGTTAAACCTTGAACCTGAATATTTCATAAATAATGATTAAGATACGAAATTGATATATTAGGGCCGAGGGTTATATTCTGATGTTTTCAGATATTTGATAATATTTTTGTAAAACGCAAAAATAATAAGTTACGATTAATGATGGCAGGTAGTACTACTTATAAGATGCAGAGACGACAATGGCATTGAAGGTCATAAAATTTCGGCTAGTGTTAAGCAGGGATCTGTTCAAGGGATCTTCCCTCATCTTGGTGTTATTGCAATCCGGGGGAAAAGAGGTGCTACCAATACCTCTAGTCTTGCCGGAACTATAAACTGGTGATGATCAAATGTATCTTAGGTCTTTCCTTGAAATGATTTGACATGGGGTCGGTACAGAGAACCAAATAATCTGGACCTCTGGTAACCGGTAGCTTACAGACAGAGTTTTGGACTTTATCTTATCCTCTTTATTGGAGAGGTCCTTTCAGGATATAGATAGAGGCTGTGGTTTAAACCGAAATTCGCGGGAAGAGAATGTTGGTTAAAAAACTGATACAGTCTATAGTTCGGGATAAGTTCGGTGCTGTTATCGAGGCAACATATACCCCACAGAGAAGTTGCTGTGAGACTAGGTGTTTGAAATACATTGCTGTCAAGTGTATATGATACGAGATGGATGTAGAGGTATGCGAGGCTCACTCATCCGTATACGTAGAGCGAGTGCGTCGGATGTTGTTCTCCATGAGTGTGTCCAATGAATGAGAAATGTGCTGGGTTGAATGGTGAGGTATCTCTTACAAGTGACACCATTGAATTTTCCTTCCTTATCCGAGTATGTTCAGGGCTAACTGTGTTCAGATTTACCACAGTTTGTTCTCTGTAAGTAAGAACAAGTTCTCGGCATATTTGATGGATTCGTATTTCGGTTTGTAAACAGGAGTGATATTTCTGCATTTCGGAAGTTAAACAACGGGGCAGCAATGGCTAGAGATTAGATAGTTTGAATACTTGTAAACGGATCGCGGGAACCATGTACAAAAATTTGGTTGTAAGATGCACCTAATAAACTCTCCCAGTAGTTGTAAAAGTACCACTGTGAAATTAAGCCCAATACGGCAGATGTTCACGTAAAGTACTTCGTTACATAGATAGACAGATAGATAAATAAAACTAGATAGATAGATAGAGATAGATAGATAGATAGATAGATAGATAGATAGATGATAGATAGATAGATAGATAGATAGATAGATAGATAGATAGATAGATAGATAGATAGATAGATAGATAGATAGATAATAGATAGATAGATAGATAGATAGATAGATAGATAGATAGATAGATAGATAGATAGATGATAGATAGATAGATAGATAGATAGATAGATAGATAGATAGATAGATAGATAGATAGAGAGATAGATAGATAGATAGATAGATAGATAGATAGATAGATAGATAGATAGAGATAGATAGATGATAGATAGATAGATAGATAGAGTAGATAGATAGATAGATAGATAGATCGATAGATAGATAGATAGATAGATAGAGATAGATAGATAGATAGATAGATAGATAATAGATAGATAGATAGATTAGATAGATAGATAGATAGATGATAGATAGATAGATAGATAGATAGATAGATAGATAGATGATAGATAGATAA